ATATAAATTATGATTAAAGAATATATATTTTTTCAATTAAATCATTTAAAAAAGCTGAAAATCTTGATTAAATATTTAAAAATGTATTAAATCCAATTACATATTTTTTAAAAAATTAAGCATTTACTGTTCATATTCTAGTTGCCAGTGCAAAGAACTAGTGTCATGCTTTATGTACCTTATATACAGAGGTACACATACACAAAAGGTACAATGATGTAAATTTTTTAGTATTATAAAATATTCCTCACCCTCCATGTACAACTTTTTTGGTAACTGCAGAATCATGAATTAGAACATGAAGAACAGCAAGGAGATGGACATTCAACTCCACTAGAAAACAAAGTTCATCAGGAAAGAATCTACTGAGCTCTATTATCTAGGAGGATTTGCCATGTTAATTAATTTATCTTTCCTATTACCTAAGTGTTTGTGTCACTCAAAACCTCCTTGCGTTTCTACACAGTGTTTTTCTCCAAGAGTGAGAACTTTCACCCATCAGAGTGAAAGAGAAAGAGAAGAGAAGAAAATTATGAAAGTAGACTCATGTTGATGTTCTAATGGCTGCATATGTGTTTCATAAGCCAATTGTTCAAAATGTCACAAATTTAGAACCAGGACCCAACAAGGTTGTGATTCATTCTCTGGGCCTATAGTCTTGTGCAGTTTAGAGATGGAGGCAATAAGCCAAAGAGTCAAGGACTGTACTTTGATAGAACATGATGCCATCATTTGTTCTCAGTTGATCCCTCCCAGGTGTCAGAAAAAAGGTAACTGGGTTTGATGTTATTTCATATTCAACTATAGTCAGCAGCTTCAGAAGTCTCACTTTGCTAGTTCATTCAGGTTGGGCACATAATGGAAAGTTATCTAGATGACATCGCTCTTCTTCATATTTTGAGATAATGCCACTGAGAATGATTACTGTATAAGAGTTTGCCTGCTTTGTGACCCAAGTCTGCTCCTTGCTGGGCTTGTGACAAATTTTTCCTTGCTTTAATGTCTGGAATGGTTATCTGCATAGCCCATCTCCATTTGCAACTCTGCTTTTGAGGATCATTACTACCCTGATATCTTTTTCTTAAAATACTACTTAATTATTGACTAGTCTATCTCAGAAAGCTAAAATACACTATGTAGTCTGAAAGCATACTTCAAAATATCCTAAAGATATGCTTTTGTATTTTCTCAGCTGGCAGTTTAAAAACTATACAAAATTACAATTTATATGAATTAATATTTTGCTTATTCAGATAAAATGTAAAGCAATAGAAAACGTACACATTTGAGATCAGACAGGCCTCGGTTGAGGTCCCAGTTCCATTATCCTGAGTTAAGTGATTTTGGAAAAATCATATAACCTTTCTAAGCTTCAGCTTCTTCATCTGTAAATAAGATAATACTTCCTAGTTTGTAGAGTTATTATGAAAATTAAATGATATAATTACAGAATGTCTAGCACATAGTAGGTTCTCAATATTAGTATCTATTATAATTGACTGGCAAAGAATTATGAAAATTGGTTATTCTGGATTCATTCATCACCTTAATAAACATGTACTGCTTTCTATATATGCCAGAAACTGGGCAAAGTGTTGGGAATTCATATTACTGTAAAAAGACAAAGAAGGGTTTGCTTGGGAAAGGCAACTCACTTTGTAGGTTACTGGGGTGCAGACAGAAGGGGAGGGATTAATTCTGGGCTAGTTGGGGCCCACATGCTGATGGGGGTAAGGGGAGGGATGTATGGAAAGAGTCTGTGACCACCATGATAACATTAGGAAAAGGGAGGACACCGAATTGTGCACATAGGAGATAGACGACAGATGCTAATATCAACCAGTGTGCCCACAATACTGCATTAGCATTAACACCAAACATCAGGCTACGGATAAATACATAAATACCTGAGAGGATCAGATGGGGATCAGTGAACAGGAGTATACTCTAGACCAAGGATAGATTCAGGACAGGCTAATCTTGCACAGATACCAGTGATACAAAATACCTGCAATCCTCACAGAAACAGCGGTAGACAGACATAGAGTAACCCCTTACAGACACTCAGACACTGTGGGAGAGAGAGCCAATGGATCTACCGTCTCAGGACCATAGTACTGGGGGACACCAGACTCAATCAGTACAACAAAATACATAAAAACCTTGTTCCTCATAGTACATTGGTGAGTAGTGACTTGGGTCTTAAAAGCTTTCAAGTGGCCATCTAAGATGCAGCTAATGGTCTCCTAGCATCGGAAGCAAAGAAGAGTGCAAAAAAAAAAACAAGGGCATTTGGAAGCAATCAGCCCTAGGACATGATGGCCCTTGAGACCAGAAGAACTAGGTGGTGCCTGGCTACCAATGCCAACCACTCAGGAAAGGATCAAATTTGGAGATCCTGGATAGAGTGGGAGGAAAAACGTGGAACAAAATCCCAAAACTCAATGTTGTTGGTATTGTTGTTGTTATTTGCCATCGAGTTGGCCCCAACTCATAGCGACCCCTCCTTAGGTTTCTGAGGCAGTATCACTACGGAAGTAGGATTGCCCAACCTTCCTTCCGAGGAGTGGCTGGTGGGTTTGAACCACCAGCCTTCTGGTTAGCAGTCAAATGCCTTAGGCACTATGCTACCAGAGCTCCTAATGACCAGAATTACTGGTCGGACAGAGTCTGGTGAGACCCTCAATACTATGGTCCTGGGATACATTCTGGGCCTGTAATAAAACTCACTCCCAGGGGCTGGCTCTCAGCCCAATAGTAAACAAGATGTACATGCAGTCCACTAACACAGGGTGATGCACCCACATACTCTATGAAAATGCATCCCTTGGAGCAATCAATCATGGGGCACCAGAGGGGCAACATTCACACAGAGGAAATGCAGGACAAACAGGAATGCATAACTATGAGGGGCACAGGGGGAAGTTTACTGGGCAGCGAGGGGAGGAGACTGGGTTAAGGTTGGGCATGGTTAATGGGGAGTGAAACTAAATGTACATGTAATGTTGAATGTAAAACAAACTCTTAAAATAAAAAATTTAAAAAAAAAAGTGTTGGTGATTCAAAATATCTTTCTTGCACCAGGAGCTTAACACTGTTGTGGGAAACAGTCATGTATAATAGAGATCTGAAACAAGTGCTATGCAAGCACAAATAACAGAAGAGCTAACTTTGCTTAGGGTTAGGAAAGGCTTCTTAAGGAAGGTGGCAATTACACTAACTCTAAGAAGCAGGGAAGTCCCAGGATGGTGCAAATCATTAACACACATTTCAGCTGCCGACTGAAAGATTGGCAGTTCAGGTTCAACCAGAGGCACCTGGACAGAGAGGTCTGGTGATCTCCTTCTGAAAAATCAGCCATTGAAAACCTATGGAGCGCAGTTCCACTCTGACCCACATGGGCTCACAGGAGTCAGAGTTGACTCCAAGCAACTGGTAAGGGGCAGTGGTCGTTCAGCGGTAGAATTCCCCCTTCCATTATTTCATATTCACATTTCATCCGTCTGTGAGTGGAAACCTGTGTGCTGGTTGCTACGATACTGAATAGCTTTCTGCAAAGCTTCCAGACTAAGCTACATTAGGAAGAAAGGTCTGGAAGTCTACTGCCAAAAATCAGCCAGTGAAAACTCTATGGATCATAACCGCCCTTGCTGCAACCAATCACGGGTATGGCACAGGACTGGGCAGTGTTTTATTCTGTTGTACATGGGGTCACCATGAATCAGAGGCTGACCCGATGCCAGCAAACAATAACAACAAGAAAGATGAGCAGGGACTTGCCAGTCAAGAATTAGGAAAGGCATTTAGGGCAGAGGATTGCAAACTCATGGATTTATTAAAAGACTTTTCATATTTAAGAAAAGTAAAAAGTTGGAGAGTAGTAGAGTCATGTCAGGCCTCATAGATAGTTCTGTTGAACAGACTAGACTCAATTTTTTGGATTGAAACTAGATCAGAGATGTCATATTAATCCTTCACCAGTACTGCTCTAATTCACATCAAAGGAAATTCCAGTTCTCTGCAATATGCCACTTACGAGGAGATGGTTTAAGAAAGGACTGCGTACAGCCTGTCACTAGGGAAATATCGGTTCATACTTACCACTTTTCTTAAAATATACCAACATTGGGGGCAGAAGGGAAACTGTTATTTTGGACCCAAGCCTCGTGATTTCTAGTTCTTCTTTCCCCTGTAATTTCTGTGATGGGTTGCCCTTTTCACCAGAAACACCCAGTGACATATTCTAAAAATTGCTGCAACCAAAAATCAAGCTTCTTAGATAATAACAAAACAATGCTCAATTCCAGAAGTGGAATGGAAGATGACACAACATTTTTCTGCAGAAAATGTAGCCTCATATCTTGTAAAATGATATGATACACAAATAATGCAAAACATTTGATTAGAAACTAGTGAAGGTAAAACCATGTAAAGTATCAGAGGGTACTAGACTGTGAAACAGAAATGTCTTGCAGCCATAGACAAACACCCTGGGATGGGCAGACCCTAAGAAGACAGACAACTCTGCTGGTAAGGACACGCCCAAATGCTTGCAATGGTCTTTTAGGGAAAATAACTGCTTTGCTGCTCCTCTTGGGGGAAATTCTCCAAGTACAATAGTCACCTTTTACACAATCCCATCATGTGAGGTGGAGGCAGAAGAGGGTGGCAACAGTTATGTAGTTGGAAATCAATCCTTAGCCTCTGATAGGGGACAAATCTTTATAGAGCATGAACATTAAGTTCATCCCTGGAACCTAGTGGTATATCTAACACTGAGCCTTCTTATGAATGGATTCACCTACTACACAACCTTAATAATGACTCAATTCCATGGGAAGAGGTTTTTATTTACATACAGTATTCTTCTCTAAGCACAAGCTCTCATTATAATCTGTTATTTCACAGCTAAATAGATTCTATGGAAAGTCTAAATTCAAAAATAGCTCTTTAATAGACATTTTTAATAAAAGGAAATTTATTTTCTTGAGTCCACTCACCATTCCATGATTCAGCCACCCTGGTATAAAATTATCGAGCAACTTCGGGTAAATCATCTCTCTGTCGTAGGCATAAATGATCCAGAATACTGCTACAACAAACTGAAAAGGAAAGGAAATCGTGTGTTCTCCAAGTCACCAACTATTTACAACATACAAATTGTTGCATCCTCTATTGTTGAAAGAACCCAACAGAATTTAGAATCTATAATAAAAGACAAATCAGTGAACCAGCTAATGATCAGAAAGATCGTTGTAGTTTCATTTCATTAGTGCTAACAATTGGGCTCTCTCTCCTGTTTCCTTGGTCTCCCACTTGTGTCCTTTCTCTTGGGCAAAAGGATCTATCTGTTTCTGAGGGACAGAGAAGAGGCTTGTCATCAGGAACAGCTCCATCTCAGAGCTAATTGTACCAGTTTGACTCTTGTCAGGAAGGTTGAAAAGTTCACCTGGGCTTTTTGCTGATTCCCTTCCCCACTGTACAGAGTTAGCACACATTCAAGAAGCTGTAGTGTCTGTCCCTTTCTCTTGAACCCATCATGTGGTTTAGATTAATCGTCACATTCTCAAGTTTCCATTTCACCACTAGCAGCATTGAAACTACTGCTATAAAATATCCCAAAGTCACATTTCCAGCAAATGTATTAATTTATACAGCCTAAGCCAGGCTTTAGCTGTCCTGAGAAGTAAAGTTTATGGAGGCCAAAGAAATTTCCTAATTCTCTTGGAATAATTGATAGGTTCATCTGGGTCCCAGAGGGTTGTTTTGGCCCATCAGCAACATAATCATTAAAATAAAGAAGTATTAATTTATTATCTTACATTTATTCAATGGTGAGAAAAAATGTTCAGTTAAAATAAAGAAATGCATGGCCCAAGGTCTTAACCTTCAGCATAATATTTAGAAGGAAAAAATGCATGCTTTTGTAAATGTCAATAAATGTAGCATGGAAAAGGGAACCATCCCCAAGGGTGTGCTCCCAAAATAATAAATACTGCAGAGTCAAGAAAATGTACCATGATACTAAAAACAGAAAAAAAAGTTACTTAGTTTTTTATAATTGCAATTCATCTCCATTACCACATTTTATTTTTTTAAATAAGAAATTAATTTCAATGCCATTTTTTATAAAACACCTGGTGGTTATAGCTCATGGTTAGCAATCAGAGAGTTCTAGAAGTTCTTTTCCAACCTAGTCAGTTGTGACGTGTGTAATCTGTGTCCAGAACAACATTTCACCCTTAAAATCTAGGATGTTAGGAACATTTAGGGTTCCATAAAACACACAACATGAGAATTACAATAGGCAACTGGAGATTACACACATAGTTCTCATACCAGATCGGGGTTCCCTTTCCTGCTTTTGGGTCAACCATTTTCACTGTCAATTGATAAATGCATAAGAAAAAGAAAAAAAATATATACATCTATCACTAGCTTAAGGTTAACTGCCATCAGGATCTGAAAAAAAAAGAAGTTCCAAGTTCAATGAATGATTTTTTAATTATACACAATTTTGGATTACTCATTCCACTACAGACTTCAAATATACTGACACTCAATGGTAACTGCATTTATAAGGTATATTTTTGCTAGTTACTTAAATCTTTATTACATTAACTCTCAACATTGTCTCCTCAAAGTAGCTGGAATATAGATTACTGCATTTTTCCTTTCAACAGATAGAGAAGTTAAGGCTTTCTGTTGACTTGCTTTAATAGCATTTGTTTATATGCAAGCCTTCACCTATCAATGGAACCTCACTAAAATGTCATTAATTTTGATTCCTGTCAATTTGTTATACTGTGGTAGCTTGTGTGTTGTTATGATGCTGGAAGCCATCAACTTTTCAAATACCAGCAGGGTCACCTGTGCTGGATAGGTTGAAACCTATCCAAATTAAGATAGATGAGGAAGAAAGGCCTGGTGATCTCTTTCCAAAAATTAGCTAGAGAAAACCCTATGGATTACAACAGAACACTGACCAATATAGTGTTGAGTGATGAGCCCCCAAAGTTGGAAGGCACTCAAAATACACAGTGGTTACAAATGACTTCAGTATAACAATTGTGAAGATGGCCCAGGACCAGGCCATGTTTTGTTCTGTTATCCATGGTGTCACCATGAGTTGAAGAGAACTCAATAGCAGCAAACAACAACAATTCAATGCAGATGGAATCACTCATGATCTTAGTCTTGGACTTTTAATTTGTTAAGAAAGGATTTGCTAAAGAAATTTAAAATTAACTGTGCTTTCTTAAATAGCTAAATCTGAAAACACTATATAGTGAAAATAGTGTTGAACTTGTTTTTCCTTGAATAACCTTCAAACTGGTGGGTTTGGTACTTTGGTGGAAGTAAAGTCAACGTTGCAAGAGATTGGGAGGGGGAGAAGCAGAGACAATATTTTAGAATGAATTTTGTTTTCAGAGACAGTGTTGGTTCAGTGGTAGAATTCTCATGTTCCATGAGATAGGCCCAGGTTTAATTCCTGGCCCATACACTTCCTGCCAATGCACCACCCATCTGTCAGTAGAGGCTTGCATACTGCTATGATCCTGAACAGGATCAGTGGAGCTTTGGACAAAGAGGGACTAGAAGGAAAGACTGCTGATCTTCTGAGAATCATCCAATGAAAACCCTGTGGATCACGGTGGTCCAATCCGCCACTGATCACGGGGATGATACAGGACTGGGCAGCATTTCCTTCTGTTGCAGCAGTGACACCACCAAGGCAGTACTTGGAGGGGCTAGAAACCAGACTCAATGGAGATAGAAAGGCAGAGCCCAAGAGAAGAGACTAGGATTAGAAACACAGAAGAAGGGGCTTTCCCTTCTTTAAAGTGGGATGCAAGTACTTTTGCTGACAGTGGGAAATAAGGCTTGAGAACAAAGGGTGGAAGTGATTTGGAATGTTGCTGTTGATAATGAGGAAGGCTATCCAGAATTAAATGAAAAAAAAAAAAAAAACCTCACTGCCATTGAGTTGATTTGATTCATAGCGACCCCTCCTTGGATTTCCAAGGAGGGAGCTCTGGTGGCTTAGTGCCTAAGGCATTTGACTGCTAACCAGAAGGCTGGTGGTTCAAACCCCCTAGCCACTCCTTGGAAGGAAGATTGGGCAATCTACTTCCCTAGTGAAACTGCCTTGGAAACCCAAGGTGGGTTCACTATGAGTCAAATCTGACTCTACTGCAGTGCATTTGGTTTTGCTTTATCTGTATGGAAGTAGATAACACCAGAGTTAGGGATAGCCTAATTTAGGTCTGATGACAGGGCTTTGTAAGGAACTCTGGTTGTGTAACAGTTAAGTGCTCCGGCAGCTCCATGGGAGAAAGCCCCAGTGATGTGCTCCCTTAAAGATTATGGCCTAGAAAACCCTATGGAGCAGCTCCAGTCTATCACATGGAGTGGCTATGGGTCAAAATCAACTCAACACACCTAACAACAGTAAGCATGGTTTTGAAGTGAAATCAACTAAGGTGTTCTCCTGGCTGCCCTGAGGTCTGTGCTCAGGTTTAGAAAAGGAGAGTCCTTGAGGGTTTCCTGGCACTAGGAATCCAGTGACTGGGACTAATTGAAGGTCTGGGACAAGGGATTTTACATTAGGAAGAGCATCTTCAATTTATTCATCAGTGTTTCTAAACTATTATATGGGAAGTGGTGGTTGCCAATGAATTAAATGGTATCACATATAAAGCAATGAATGGAGCACCTGATTCAGAGTGGACACTCAATTAAAGATTGTTTACTTCCCCTTTCTCCTTCATTTTCTCACTTTCTTCTTGCCTATGGATTTGGCAATTCTAAGCAACACCATACAGTATCAATTTCAAGCTCATCATATGCCTCACTACAAAGGAAGCAACACTATGCTTCATTCAATACTGCTCTTCAACCTGGGTCCCTGCTTTACAGCCTTGCTACTCAAAGTATGGTCCCCTGGACCACCAGCACTCACATTGTTTGATAGCTAATAAAATGTGTAGAATTCCAAGGTCCACCAAATATTTTCTGATTCTGCACTTTAATAAGATTCCAAAGTGAATTGTATGCACATCAAAGTTTTAGATGTCCTGCTGTGGGAGGCCCTACTCCAACCACTTCCAGTCTCCTGACACCCCATGGAGTGAGGGGGTCAAGAAGATTGTCTACCCAGAGCCCAGACCCTTTCTGTTCTAGCTCAAAACCTGGGTAACCATAAACCTGGAATTTTCTGCCCAAATAGGCAGGGGTATGCGTCAGGACTCGTGTGGGTCTCAGACTGCTGAGAGTTGACTGTGCACATAAAGCGTGCATCTCACAGCCCGGGAGGTGGTTAAGAGGTGTCTTTGTGTAGGGTGAGGATCAACATTTTATATTTCACCTGGGTATCCATGGGAATGAAGTAGTTTTTACTGTTATATGGAGCCACTGCTGGAAATTCCTTCACCTTTGCCATATACTGTAATCTAATAAGGTTTAAAAGTCCCTGGGTGGTCCAAACACTTAATGAGCTCAGAGAGTAACCAAAAGGTTGGCAGTCAGAATCCACCCAGAGGCACCCTGAAAGAAAGGCCTAGCAATCTACTTCTGAAAAATCAGCCATTGAAAACTCTACGGAGCACAGTTCCATTGTGACACAGATGGGGTTGCTATGAGTCAATCAACTGGACAGCAGTTAATCATATTTAGACTCAAGAGGAGTGGATTATACAGGGCTTGATAATTAGGAAGCTTTGGAGGCAGAGTGGGCAAAGTGTTCGGCTACAAAACAAAGGTCGATGGTTTGATCCGACCAACCGCTCTGTGGAAGAAAGATGAGGGTCCGCTTCCGTAAAGATTTACAGCCTTTGAAACCCTGTGGAGCAGTTCTATTCTGTCCTATGGGTCACTATGAGTAGGAATTGAGTCGAGGGCAATGCGTTTGGCTGTTTGGTGTGGGTGCACAACAGGGGGTAGGAATTTTGGGGCTATTTTGGAATTCCACATATCACATGCTAACATTTTTTCTTCTCCAAAATTGTTTTTGGCTATTTTAAGTCCTTTGCATTTCAATTTAAATTTTGTTATCTCAGCTTA